ATTATTATTATTATTATTATTATTATTATTATTATTATTATTATTATTATTATTATTATTATTATGTATACCCTTAGGTCATTTTACATGGTAATCTAAACAGCTAATTTTTTCAAATATCTTTTTACCAATCGTTGATATAATTCGATAGTCAAATTCGCTAATATAATCCGCTAACGCTAATCGCTAATTGCGGATTGTCAAACAAGGACATTGCGAGGTAGTTCTCACTTTTTGTTATGAGATTTGAATACTCTCTTTGTCAACAAATCCCTCAAGTAGTTAATATGATTGGTTTTATTAATTATATTTTTAAAATTTTTTCATGGTATTAATAAAATACTTGGTAAATAAATATATAACATTATTTTGTATTATAACTTTGATATTTAATTAAAAAAATAGTGCACAAAAAAAAGATAATAGACAATGTAGTGAATATAATCAATTGATGAATTTGAATATAAAGAATTTTTACATTGGAGAAATATAAAGACAATATAACTAATAAAATTATTTCTCTTAATTAATTTATTGATAATGAATAATTTTTTTTTATAAAGACATTGTAGGGATAATGTAGCGAATATAATCAAATGATGAAATTGAATGTAAAGAATTTTTATATTGGAGAAAAATAAAGACAATATAACTAATGAAATTATTTATCTTATTTAATTTATTGATAATGAATAATTGTTTTTTTTAATAAAGAAATGCATATATATGTATGTATTATTTTTTGTCAGCTACTAAATTATTATTTAATTTAATAAGAGTAAAATAGAGTACTAATTATGTCAACTTTGATTGGGATGTGGTTCGAACCTAAGACCTTTCTTATTTAAATCAATGAGTAAGTTAACGGTGAACTAACAAAAATTAACGAAAAATATAATATTTAACGGAAAAGTTAACGGAAAATCATATTCATTAAGGATAAATTAGTAAATCTTAAGAAAAAAAATTAAAATCTGATCAATCTGAGCCATTCATTTGATTAAAAAATTTGACCGCCATTTTTTCTACCCATTATAGGCCTAACTTTCTTGGGTTCTTATTAGTATAGTAGATAGATAGTAGATAGATGTGTTTGGCCTGATCTCTACTATACCCTGGTTTCCAGCTAACACGTACTATATACAGTATATATATAATGGCGTGTTGACTTATGGGAATATGATCGTACTACACTGGGTCAGTTTTTAAATTTTTAGTCTCGTTGTTATAAATAAATGAGGTTATACTAAATACTAATAGTATAAATTTAATCTTTAATGGTTTAACACTAATACTTTAAAATATATGACTCTTCTTTTAAGTCACAGAATAATTTTGGCATTCTCATTTAATTATATCATAATTATTGTGATAGAGAAGTAATTTGGAAAAAAAGTTTATGAGTTTATTATAGATTTATTTTTTATTTCATAAGTAGCTAGATCAAAAATAAATATTAAGTTCTCTAAAATTTGAGATCATGTATTATTGCTTATCTTTCACGGCACAAATTCGGCCATGGTAGTGCAATACAGTGATTTCGCAACAAACAAAAGAAAACGTTTTACATATTTTATCTATGTATTTAAATAAAATATAAAATAATTATTTCAATCTAGCTGACACATGTATTATTGACCCTCCAACTTTTGCGAGGTAATAATGGGTCCCTCTTTTCAGAAGGTGTCAAATTTTGACAGTTTTGGATGCTTGACCGTACCAATTAATGGAGACATTAATGATTTAGGCCAACTCCAATGCATTACAATAAAGTTTTCCATCAACAAAAATATTCTCATCCTATTTTTACAATAAATTCTATTCATCTAAAATTCATTACACTAAATTCTATTTTTACACTAAAATAATTTATTTTTTTATAAATTAAAATTTTAATTTTTTTTTACTTTAATTTGTTAATATAAAATTTAATTGTAATGCAAATAATATTTTTATTCTACAATAATATAACATATAACAACTATTACATTTAATTTTTAAAATTACCATATCGTTCCCACATATGCTCAATCAATGTATTACGAAATGTATAATACTCTTCTCTGTGTTTTATTTGTCTATGTCGAGCCAGAAATTCTTGAAAATGCAGACCCGATTAATGAAAACAACAATGCAAGCAAACGTCCTACGGGAAGGGAGAAGGAGAAAAAGAAGATGTTGGAGGATGAAAAAGATGAAAATATCTTTTTCCTTCCTCATGTAACCGTCTCTCTCCTTCCCCCTTTATATTGTAACTCAACAGTAAGAAGTGCATGAAATAATACTCTACATTTTCATTCTCCCTTCTTCTCCATAGCTTCCTATGAAATCCTGGTACTCTTGCACAGACTGCCACCTTAACATGGCCTCGACCATCAGGGCCAGCGCACAGGGCCCCCAAATATTGCATACGAACTACGAAGTATATATATGTGTATTGTGCTTTGTGCCCCCAAATTCTGGGGCACTTTTATTAAAAAAAATATTATTTTATATTTATATTTTATATATTAGTCTTATGGATAAAGAAATCAAGACGGTTTAAAATTCTAAAAAGTTTAAATTTTTAATTCTTAAGTACTTGATTTACGTATAGAGGTATAGTCCTATAACTTATAGGAATTGAGGCGGGCCTATTTGATTATTGTAAAAATTATTATATATAAAGAGTAAAAAATTACTCTTATTCCTATTATAAATTTATAATGCATACACACAAGATTTGTATTCACAACGCAAGAATTCGGTTTCAGTAATCATTAAATTGAAATGCGTTGTTTGTGTATTTTTCATCATCAATTTTTTTATTCTTCACGATAAAAGGATGAAATTATGTAAATAATTAAATATTTTAATTCTTTAATTTTATTCACAATTTTAAAATTATTAATTCAATAACTAACCCTAGCTAGGATTTTTTTTTATTGGTGAATAACAATCTAATTTCTTGTATTTTGATACTACAATTGCAATATCAATTAGTCTCGACTATTTTCATTACTGTTGTTTATGCATAAATAAGTTTTTTAAAGTTCAAGTTGTTGAAATCTTACTTATGATCAAATATATATATTGTAAGAAAGACTCAATGGATTGGTGAATAATTTTACATCTAAATATGACCGAAGAAGAAGAAGAAGAATGTCACTTTTCAAGTGAAATTTTGAATAATAATTTTGTTATAGACTATTATATATTTTGGTACAATACAATATATCTTTTATATATTTACAATTATACACAAAGGGGGCCAATGTTAATTTTCGCACAGGACCCCAATTTTCTTAGGAACGGCCCTGTCGACCATGCCTTCTCCAGAGCGGTCAGGATGCCCCAACCACCAGCGAATCAACCCAGGCATGCGTGTGCATGAGTCCTCACTCGCAGCACATGCAAAATCTTCAGTCCCCTGCTAGTCCTCCACTACATCGTCAAGGGCTTTGGCATGATCCTGTTGCTGTTTTTTATGCTCCTCCTACAAAGTTTTGTGTTCCTCCTGAAGGGCCTGGTGCTCCTTCCCCAGGGTTTTGTGTTCCTCCTAAAGGGCCTGGTGCTTCTCCCCCAAGGTTTTGTGATCCTCCTGAAGGGCCTGTTGCTTATCTCCTAGGGTCTTGTGCTCTTGTTGCAAGGTCCTGTGCGCTTCTTTTAAAGCTTTCGATCAGTTCTCTCATTGTGCGTCTACGAGCCTCCTCTTCCCCCCGGAGGGAGCGCTTTACACCCTGTTGTGCCTTCTCTAACTCGGCATACTCCCGAGAGGCCTCCTGCAAGCGCTGGTGAAGCCCGGTGGTTTGCATAACCATCTGCGCAAAGGGTTGAGACACCAAGCAAAACACGTCAAAAAAAAAAAGAGGGTGGGGGGGGGGGGAGCACCTACATTCATGGAATCTCCGACTTAGCGGGAACTCAAGGTCTCCATCGGACTGCTATCAATCCAGAAGCGCCGTGGGACTGCTATCAATCCACATGTTCGGGATCGTAGGGATGGAGGCGGGGGCGGCCCGACCAAGTCGAAATCCTGGCAGCCAGAGGGTCACGAGCGTCATACTCACCGGGAGGGCTTGGCGTAGCTAGCGTCACGGCCGAAGGAGGCTCATGAGAGGGGGAGTCCACGACATGGAAGGGAGTGAGCGGGGAGAACTGAGCGGGCAAAAAATGAATGTTGGAATCCACTCAATCCATGGTAGGGTCGTCCATGAGCCCCACCGACGATGCCCCTTCGTCGTCTTCATCTTCGTCATCAGAGGCGGCCTCCGAGCTAGGAGCTTGCTGTCGTTTACGAGTCTGGTAAGCTCTAAGCATTTGGGAGGTACTTTCGAGGGGAGCTAGAAACATCAGATAAGGCTGTAAGTACAACACAAGCAGTGTAAAAAAAAAAAAAAAAGGGAGCATATCCATAGGTGGACCGGTGCTGAGTTGGTGAAGCCGAGAGGGATCATGATACCTACGATGGTCATGAGGACCGTCGGCGCACAGTCGCGCCCTATCAGTATCCAGACCTGAATAGCCGGGAGGCGTGTAGAGAGGAGGGCGTTGCACCCACACATTACTAAATCCCAGCCCAAAATCACTAGTGGGATAATGAAGGTATACGAACTTCTCCTTCCAGTTTTTAGGAGAGGGATGGCAGAGAGGTCACGAAGGGATAGTTAGGGACGGGCTGGAGGTGGAGGAAAGACAACTCGCTTTGGCTCACGTTGAGAACATGTAAAAGTAAAGATAGGGAAGGTTCTACCTTGACTTCCCGGCATCGAGTGAGGAAACAGGTGATGAAGCGGTAACCGTTTGGAGTCATCTGACAGGGCGTTATCCCATGGCAGTCGAGAAATGCCCGAGTAAGAGGATGTGGAGGAAACTGGAGGCCTGCCTGGATCGACTGGTAATGAACGGCTACCCTGTCGGCCGCAGGTGGGTCTGACATAGTTCAGTCCTCCCCGGGCACGGTGATCTCAACATCCAGGCCCAACCATTCGTCTAAGGAATCGAGTTCGGCTCAGGAAACATTAGCACGTATGCCGCGGGGAGTGGAGGGATCGAGATGACGGACGGAAGCACCGGTGGTAGGGGGCACGAGGTGTCATAGGCGACATAGGAAGTGACCTCTGAGCAGGGCGAGGAGACGGATTAGAGAAGGCAGGTGAGTTGTTGGCAGTGATCGGCGAACGGGTGATACCAAAAAATCCCCAGGCAACGAGGTGAGTAGTAGTCGTGGCTTGCGGCGATGGTTGGTGGGAGCTCATGGCGTGAGTAGCGCGGGTGCGCCGAGTTTCCGCGGTGGGCGACGTGACGAGCCCTAGGGCGGGGGCGTGACGTGTATTGGGGGTAGGCAGTTTGCGTTGTGAGAGCTGATTCTAGTGGGAGACCAGGAAATATGAATGTGAAGGGAGGAAAAGATAGCTTTAAATAGGAGGGGGGGGGGGGTAGTTGAGATTTTATGGGGGAAACCAGTTATCTAATCCGAGTGGGGGAAAGACTGAGTAAAATCCTACTTCTACTCCAATTAGGTATCAAGATACCTAAAAGGAGTGGGGGACTTGTGATGGGGATATTGGGTATGGGCTAGAAACCAGGTAGGCTGGGGTCATTGGGCCTAGGGTTACGGGGGAGTGTTTGGGCCGGGGCAGGACGCCACGGGGTGGTCGGAAGAACCGCCGGGTGGGGCGCGGGCCTGACGCCCCCCCCCCCCCCCCCCCGCCCGCCGCCAGGGCACGGGGCGGTGGCCGCTACCATTGCCCATGGCCAGGGCGGGACGTTGGCTGGGGCACTGGCAACGCCGCACCCAGTGCGCCTAACACGTGGCTGGGCGCGGGCCCGTCGCCCCGTGGCAGGGGCGCTGCCTACGGCGCTGTGGCAGGTCGCCCGGGTTGGGGGTGCGTGCGTAGGGTGTGCAGGGTGGTGCGCGTAAGGGGAACAGGAATTTCGGAAGCAAGGTAAACGTGCGGATTGGCATACGGAAAAGTAGGGAGTGGCGACTAAAGCACTTGGGGCATGTGGAGGCCCAGGAGGAGAGGGGGCAGGCTATAAATAGGGGTCCTGGATCCTTAGCTAAGGGCAACGAAATTACGACAGGCACTACGGTCTAATGGTCTTGATCTCATACTCTCAATCCAGTCACCTGGGTTCGATTCCTACTAGTAGCATAGTTAATTATAGCCCACCTTGTGGGCCTTGTTCTTTGTATTTGGGCCATTGTTTTGGGGCCTGTACCTCGGGTTTTGGCAAATTATGTTGTGCATCCGTATGCACCATGCATGGTGCATAAGGATGCAAAAACGATGTCGTTTTATTAAAAACGCGCGTCTCACTTAAAACCATGCATGGTGCATACGGATGCACAGCATAACTATCCTCGGGTTTTGTACGCATTGTTCTGGGCCTAGCGCCCTACCCCCGTTCTGTAGCTCTGTACCTGGTTTATGGTTAACCAGTCCCAATAAAACCAACAGGTTTAATCTTACACTACTATATAGTTGTCAAAATATAAAAACATGTCCCTTAAGCTGATCTATTATGTTGCATGAAAACTCTCACCACAATAAAAAATGATGTCATTTCGCGTAATTTTTTCATGTGACCCACTGCAACATACATTTTTATAACACATAATGTATATTATCTTAACTCATAAAGTATATTATCTTACTTCAAAAGTGTCGTTATTCTAAAACATAATGTATATTATTCTAACACATAATATACATTATTCTACCACATAAAATACATTATCTTCTAACTCATAAAATTTAACAACGTCATTTTGGACCGTGGTAGTGGAGCACGGTCTAGACAATAATTTGCCCTATATGTAGTATGTACTTTGATATCAGAATTTAGGACACTTTTTACTAGAGGTGTGCAAACAATTAATTCAATTCGATTAACTGTCAATTGACCTTTTGCTTAACCGATTTAACCGAAATTCTAAATCTTCTAAACATTAATATTTGATTTAAACAACACTATTTTTTTTTTAAATACTCATAGTTCTTTACAAGGTACTCCCTCAGTTCCATTTTATCTGACATACTTACTATTCATTGGTCAAATTTTTTTTTTTTACTTATTTTTAAATTTGATTTTTTTTTTGTGTGTTTAATCGTACTTTTAGTGTAGTTTTTAAATATATAAATTTTGTATACTAATACTAAACTTAATATTATGAAAAATTGAATTGAAAATAACTTCAATCAAGCCTCATTAACCGAACCAGACACATAAAATGGAACGGAGGAAGTAATATCTATTTTATACTTATTATTTATTTAGAATGTTAACAGAAATATCATCACACTAGATAGCAGTTGGCTTAAACTACTGTAATTATTACATATTAGAATGAAAAACAATACAAAAAAATATCATTATTTTGTTTACAGAATTGAACATAGATAATTTAATTTGCTGATCAATATGAAGTAGTTGCACTTATCTTCCAGCATCTACTGACAGGGACGGAGCCAGAAATTCGATTGAGGGGGGGCGAAGAAGTAGTACGGATTCAGAAATTTTTTTCAGTAAAAGCGAAACATTAAAACAAAAGAGATAATTTTTTAAAAAAAAATAAGTTACCTAAGATTTTTTTTTATATAATCATTACTTAAAAAATATAGTTGTAAATATTGTTGGATATGTGCGAAAAATAAAACACATCAAAACTTTATAAAAATATTTATAACATAATATGAAACAATGGCCATAGGGGTAGGACTCAAAAACATGTTAATGCAAGGATTTGAACCCAAGACCTTTCCAATTAACAAACACATACCTTATTAACTACTCTAATTCCTTACTTGTTAACATTTACTAATTTTTTTATACTAATACTAACACCTATACTATATATACATATATACATACAAATATTATATATGGGGTGGGGGTGGGGTGAGGGGGGACAACTGCCCCCCTCTGCCTCCGTCCCTGCCTACTGATAACTCCATATGATGTTTTAAACTATCATATGCAGTTGTCATACTAAAAGTAGCATTAGTAGCATCATAGCCAAAGGGGATCAATGGCTCAGTAAGTAGAGCTTGTGATTCCAAGGAAGTTTTTGAATTATTAACCCATGGATGTTTTGCCGCTCTCATCAATCCACCTAGTTCTACTGCAACTTCCTTCATCGTTGGCCTATCCTCCCCCTTCACATTTAAACACCTCTCTGCAAGTAAGGAAACCTCCATTAACTCTTCAGTGTTTCCCTCACATACAACATTGTCATCAAAAATCCTAAATAATCGATTCTCTTTGAGCGAGGAAAGGAAATGTAGAGATAGATTTCTCTCCTCCTCTGGGCCATTGAAGAATACTGCCCTCCTACCGGTTAACAATTCTACTAGGACAACTCCGAAACTGTAAACATCACTCTTTTCTGTTAATTGGTGAGTTTGCATGTATTCTGGATCGAGATAACCCAATGTTCCTTGTACCATAGTTATCAACTGAGTTTGATCTTGCAGAACTAATCTTGATGCACCAAAATCAGATACCCTAGCAGTGTAGTCATTATCTAGGAGAATATTTGCTGGCTTAACATCTCTATGGATGATGAGAGGAGAAGCTGCAGTGTGCAAATAAGAGAGGACCTCAGCTGTTTCCGTAGCTATTCTTAAACGAATCGACCAAGGCATTTTGGATGCGTTGTTTTTACTATGTAGATGCTCAGACAATGTTCCATTATTTATGAACTCATAAACCAACAACGGAACTTCTGTCTCTAAACAACAACCAAAAAGTTTGACTGTGTTTCTGTGGTTGATTTGGGAGAGCACAATTACCTCATTGATGAACTGTTCAACTTGGGTTGGGTCCATCATTTTGGGTTTTTTAACAGCTACTATTTGGCCATCAAGAAGGTGTCCTCTGTAAACTATGCCAAAACCTCCTTCACCAACGATTCTAGTTTGGTCAAAGTTGTTGGTTGCTTTCTTAAGCTCTTCAGCTATGAAAATTCTTGTTGTTTTAGAAGATGTAGTGCCTTGAGCAATCATTTGTTGCAGAATCAATCCTCCATTTTCCCTAAAGAATTTATCTTTCAACTGCATTGATTTCCTCCGTCGATATCCCAAATACACACAAAAACCACTCATCAACAGCGTTATAGTGCCCAAAGAAACACCTGCAATCAACATTTCTCGATTTCTTTAGTAAGTGTTGATGAGTGATTGGAATATCAATCATATGAAAAGAGTTGCTTAATAGCAAAGGGTGTTTACCCAAAACAATGGCATTCACTTTGTTTCCATGTTTACTAGGTAATTGGCAGCCACCTTTCCCATCTTCCTGGAAACCTTCCTTGCAATGGCATGAAAAACCCCCCTGTTTATTCTGGCAAGTGGCGTTCCTGGAGCAGTTGTTCTGCCCATTTGCACATTCATCAATATCTGCAGAGCCATCAATAAACAAGAAATCTAAATAAATGAGAAACAAAAACACCCTAGCCTGATTGAAACAGGCTAAAACAAGTTAGTCAGACTGTTGACTTGATAATCATAAGGTTACAAGTTCGACTCTTAACAGAAGTGCAACCAATTGACCTTCTTGATTTGAACCGGTCAACTATGGTTTACCTAAGCTGATTTACCTCTTTGTGATCATTTGCAGGTTAGGATAACAATGTGGGATTTACTCAATGCATCTATAGTCCACCTAAGATGCACGTTAGAATATTAATGTCGGATTTACCCAGTGCAGCTATGGTCAAACCTAAGTTGATCGATTTACCTGTCAAACCTAAATTGATTTACCTCTTTGTAATCATTTACAGGTTAGGATAACAAGTTGGAATTTACCCAATGCAGTTATGGTCAACCTAATCCCTAATGCAACTATGGTCCACCTAATCCCTAATGCAGCTATGGTCAAACTAAGCTGATTTACCTTTTTGTAATACTTTGTCAGATTTACTTTTTTGTTATCTTTTGCGGATTAAAATAACAAGGTGAAATTTACTCTACTCAGATAGTGGCTACAAATTTCACTCTCATCATTCAAAAAACTTATACGTACCAAGACAACCTGGATGGAGATATGGATTGCCTTCATAACCCTTCTTACAAGAGCATCGGTATCCACCATCAGGACCTTCAAAAGGGTCACAGGTGGCGTTACCTTTGCATATGTTGCTAGAGTTGTTGCACGTATCGTTGGGGATGATCCAGTCAATGACTATCGGAAGTTTGTTGACTTCCCATTTGTCGGTAAGCATATCGCCGGAGAAGAAGAACTTGTCCTCTTTCGAATCATAAACAGGAAAGGTCAGAATAGGTTCGCTGGTTACGAGAATTGTGTAAATGAATATTTGGACCCCAGAGAAGGAAAACCGACGTAGTGTAGTCCGATTTTATGATTAAAGAGAATCGATGTTCTGGAGTCCGTTTTATATTTTTTTTATTGTTTTTTAAATACATTCGGACCATTGAAGTTTGAATGTATTCATATAATTAATTTTGTTTTTTTATTTTTTTTTTAAGAAATGCGACGAATGTATTCATAATATTTTTTTGCCGAAGAAGGTTCATGCTCAGTATGTGTCTATACTTCATATTATAATTCGAAGAAGGTTCATGCTCAGTATGTGTCTATACTTGATATTATAATTTGAATTTAGATGAAAAAATTGGATAATTAAAAATATAAACAAAGCATTATTTTATTGATGATTCAAAGTAGGACAGTTTGGGGAAGAATGAGTTGTCCTCCGACAATACCTACATCTTCTACTTCGATTTGAACCGAAGTCCATTTCATTTGGATACCTACGTGTGTGGCGCTGGCCTCGTTGATTTGGTTGCCTAGCAGAAATCGGTGGAAGGCAAGTAACTGGACCGGTACACTGAATTCTTTCGTCTACGGGGTAAAAATTACCGGCATAACAGTTCCTGTAATTTTCAACCGAGTAAACATTTGGCACTAATGGGCCGAATCCTTGCCCTCGTTAATTGCATGCTGCAATCACATGTGCACAAGGTAAGCCGTTGACGTTCCACAAGCCGCAGTTACACGTACGTTCCGTTAGATTCACTTGAAAGTGATATTGTTGACTTTGGGAAATGTAACCAGTATTTAGGGCAACACCATAGATTCCGAGGGCGTCATTGTAACGTTGAACGCTTGCACAGCTTGCCTCATTGTTTCGAGCTGACAAATCATCGGTAATGTTTGTCGTGAATCGCAGGCCGTGTTGCTACATCCCCTCTCCCGCAGTACGCCTGTCCGCAAACATAGTCCGTAACTTGTGAAAAGTCATTCGGACTATTGCCGTGACGGGTAACATCCGACAACACTTTAGTGAATTATTTAGTGACTCAAACGGATTGGTCGTCATGATGCCGTACCGGTGACCATCGTCGTGATATAATGTCCACTTATCGACATCAATGTCGGCAAGATAGGCGTATGCAGCGGGGCATTTGATTTGGATTGCCTTCATGTGTTGAAGGAATTGATCCCTTGTCACAGCAGTACCAGACTACCAGCTTCCCACACAAGTTTTCGTAACCGCCTATTTCTGGTCACCCTTGACATGACATTGCTGCGAATGTGTCTTAGGCAAAATCGGCGTTTGACACGGCCCCCCTTCAATTGTTCGACGGAATTAAACGCTGCATCGATTCCAGCGTGTCTATCCGAGACGATGCACATGGAATTGTGATGTGGAAAGACATTTTCAGCCAGAAGTCGAAGAAACCAAGTCCAACTGGCATTATTTTCGGAGTCCACGATCGAATATGCCAGTGGATAGATTTCCTTGTTGGCGGTATATCCGCAGGCTAGCAGGAGATGGCCTTTGTACCGGTTGTACAAGTGGGTACCGTCAACACAAATAACCGGGATGCTGTAGCGGAAACCATCTATTGCGGGCTTGAACGCTCAAAATGCGTACAAGAAATTTGCGTACCCTGTACCCCTTTCTGCGTTATGTGTGGTCATGATTTTCACAATGGTACCAGGGTTGGACAGTTGCAACTGCCGGTAGAATTGTGGTAGCTCATTGTACGACTGCCGGTAATTCCCGTACTGCATTTCAATGCATTTGTGTTTGGCATACCAAGCTTTCCGGTACGAAATGTCGACACCATATCGTTGTCTCACATCCTCTTGGATGTGTTTTATTTTGTACTGTGGATCCGCAGTGATCTTTTGAAAGATCAAATCACATATTAATGAGCTGGTGCACAGTTTGTCCGCGGGCCGCTGGTTGAATTGAACTGTGCACTCGTGGGGCTGAGTGTACTTCGTGACCTGCCATTCAGTAGATGCCCCATGCAACTTCTTTGCGGATAATGTCCACGGGCAAGATGGTGTTGAGATATAATGTGTACAGGAGACCTTCCAATTTGTCCTTTTTGTGGTTGGTGACGTAGTCCCGCCCGTGCAGCATATTGTATGTTCCTACTGCTTTTTTTAGCGTTGGAAAATCCGGGAATACCATTCCTTTTGCAATAACATTTGTGGAGGGTTTGTATGATAGGGTTTCATCATCGTCCCTCTCCGTAAAGCCGTATGCGAATGCAGTTGTTGGAGGTGGTATCGGTGAGTGGTAAGACGGAACCGTAGAATCTGGCAATCGATGACCCCGACCTCGATTCATTTGAGTAGTTACATTCATTGAATCGAAGTCGAATGGAACTGACTCCTGTATGTCTTCGTGGTCTGTACTTCCTGAACTCTCGAACGGTATGGACTCATCAGGTTGATACGTGGCATCACTTTCTGATGAACTTTCCACCATTGTTGACTCAGATGGAAGTTCCTCTGGTGGATCGACATCGTTAACTCCGAATCCGCCACCATAAATATCTCCTGTCTGAATGTACACATGTAACTCTCCGTTTGGCATTGTTTGTCGTATGAAGTATTCACAGTCTCTTTCTCGCGCAACGTGTAGTAGATAGTGTGTGCTTCCCATTGTAGCATCCACTATCACTCTTCCAATCAGCTCAACATTGTCCTCAATGTTGATTCCCATTGCTTGTCTGATCATTAACTCCATAGGAATGAGTCTAATATTTGATGGTATTGGAATAACTACTCGAGGCTGGAGTGAATAATTTATCTGTGGCGGTGCCCCACTGGTTTGTATTTCCCCACCCCGAAAAAACGAAAACATATGTAGATATAGCTTCCATTTTAAAAAAATTGCAGTTCGAGAAAATTGAATTTGGCTCTTTCTAAATATGAGATTCGCAAATGTTGTGGTGCAGTTATGGGGCTTGGTTGATTTGTTCGTATAGTAGTGTGGTATTTATAGTAGTGTACTAGAGTCCGAAATAATTATATTTAAATGTCCAACAGCTTTAGTTGTTTGTATAGTAGTGTTCTATTTATAGTAGTGTACCACAGTGTAGTCCTTATTAGCTTTATGAAAGTGTAGTCCATATCACAATGCACTTTTTTATAAAATCACTTTTCAGTAAAATAAATTTCGTGAGACTCCAACTATTGTCAAGTAGTGCCAATTACTTTTTTATTTTTTTATTCTGATAGTGTTGTCACTATCAAAAATTACATTTTATAAAATAAATTGGAGTATAGAAGGAAAATATGATAGGGTTGGTTTATGCGTACAAAACATAAAACTTAAACAAATGCCAAACAACAATGGAGTAAACTCATGCAAATATTTATTCAAACATTATGTTAACTTATTTGGAAAGTAGATGTTTAAATTCTTCAACGATTGCATCCAGTTTCATCGCGTGCTCGTGATTCTCACGTGCGAGTTTATCTTGCATACGAGCTAAGATTTCCTCATTTGAATATGTGTTTGTATTCGGTACGGTTGAGTTGGAACTTGAAGCGGAATTAGAACTACATGCTCGGGAATCATGTCATTGACTACTTATGAATCTGTTGAAAGCTTGAATGGCTTCATCCCTCGAGTTGTATGATTTATACAAGTTGTCGCTATAGCGATGCACTTGAGTTTTTGCATCCTCCCAATTGTCATATATTCTCGGTTGGCGACCAACAAACACAACATACGTTTTTCCCTAATAAAAATCATATTCATGTTAAAGACGAAATTTTAATTAAAAAAAAATAGTAAATAAAACTATACCGTACCATATGAATTGTTCAAACGAAGATGATGAATGCTTTGAAGTTGTAGAATGGGAACTGCAATGAGCAAGTAATCTTCAATGTGAGCAGGTTGCGGTAATGTAGAGCAGGCTATAAATAGGCCTATAAAGAAATTATGACTGAATATATTCCCTTAGATTGGTTTTGAGAATTACCTTATCGTGAAGAATATGTTTGGACTTTGTTGGAAAGAATATATTCCATTACAAGGCAAGAATGGTCCATTTCATCATTTCCAAGACGAATATATTCCCCGAAGCTATTGCTATGCTGCCATGAGTGTGAGAAGACTAGTCAT